TTTAAACCAAAAAATCCAAATTGACTAACAGTACGAAAAGCTTGAAAAAATATAAGACTTTAATAAGACTGTGGCGTTTTTAGGTGTTAAAGTTTTTTTTATGCGAGCAAGAGCAGCGTATTTTTTACTACGTAGCGACTTTACATATTCTCCAAACTTTAACTAATCAGCTATAGTAATACACCTGCAATGTTAGTTGCGTAATATTATCTTGTGGCTATAGTACATAAAGTATCTGATAAATCAATATTAAATCAAAAAAAAAAGTAGTGTTACCTCAATCGTATTGAAGAGAATGAATAAACTTAATAGTTAATAAACAAAAACATACAGCTAGCTTTTTTTTTTTTCCAAAGTATGGGAACATATTTAATAATAAAGTTCATAAAGCTACATATCGGAGCTTTGAAGTCATTGTTATTATTATTATTGATGCAATATGAGTTAAGGCCGTTTTCCACAAGTCAAAATATTCGCATAAAGCGATTTTTTTTGCTACAAAACGTAGTTTTGATTTCCACTTACTTTCTTTTGCGCACCTTTTTTTGTTCTTGTCATCAATAAAAATTGATTTGACAATATGCGTTAGCTTCAACAGCTACGTAGTTTACTTTCATTTAGTGAAAAAACATTGTTTATGATTAATTACTTTAAAATTGTTTAATTATATTTTACTAAATAAAATATATATTTTTGTGAACAAACCAGACAATAAAATTTTTTAGTTAAACATCCCAGTAAGCACAGGACGTTTTTAAAACGTTTAAAAAAACTTATTAAAACGGATTTTAACGTTTTTTAAAGGCTTTAAAAACGATCTGTGCTTACTGGAATATAACTCCACTGTATCTAGCAACACTATTATATCAATAGCTACATATCATAACATCATATATATATATATATATATATATATATATATATATATATCTATATATATATATATATATATATATATATATATATATATATATATATTTAAAATTTCTGTAATGAAGTTGTTTATTTTGAGAGAAACTGTATTTCTTGATGTTTTAAAATAATACATTCATGTATATATATATATATATATATATATATATATATATATATATATATATATATATTTAAAATTTCTGTAATGAAGTTGTTTATTTTGAGAGAAACTGTATTTCTTGATGTTTTAAAATAATACATTCATGTATATATATATATATATATATATATATATATATATATATATATATATATATATATATATATATATATATATATATATATTTAAAATTTCTGTAATGAAGTTGTTTATTTTGAGAGAAACTGTATTTCTTGATGTTTTAAAATAATACATTCATGTATATATATAATATATATATATATATATATATATATATATATATATATATATATATTTAAAATTTCTGTAATGAAGTTGTTTATTTTGAGAGAAACTGTATTTCTTGATGTTTTAAAATAATACATTCATGTATATATATATATATATATATATATATATATATATATATATATATATATATATATATATATATATATATATATATATATTTAAAATTTCTGTAATGAAGTTGTTTATTTTGAGAGAAACTGTATTTCTTGATGTTTTAAAATAATACATTCATGTATATATATATATATATATATATATATATATATATATATATATATATATATATTTAAAATTTCTGTAATGAAGTTGTTTATTTTGAGAGAAACTGTATTTCTTGATGTTTTAAAATAATACATTCATGTATATATATATATATATATATATATATATATATATATATATATATATATATATATATATATATATATATATATATATATATATATATATATATATATATATATATATATATATATATATATATATATATATATATATATCAGTTTCTCTCAAAATAAATAACTTTATTATAGAAATTTTTGCTGGGTTATGGATACCAGCATCATCAGCTTGTAAAATATTGCAACAATTTTAATCGCTATAAATTATATAAAACTGTTACTATTGACGTCAGCCGTTGAATGGTATCTTTGATTTTTAAATTTTAAAAATGGCGTCCGAAACATAGTTTTGACATATTGGCCTTCATCAAGATTAATTCCGCCGTTTCGTGCGGAACACATGTTGTTTTGTATTTCTAGTGCCTCTCTATTTTTTCTTTCAAACTTTTTAATTTTTACCTTTAACGTTATTGTTTTTTCCCAAATAATATTTTTTTTGCAAAAGGTTTTATGAAATGCTAATGCAAATTGATTAGGTTTGATTTCATAAATACTCTTCTGATGTTGATGCATCCGCGTATTTACCTGCATTTTTGTTTCACCTATGTAAACTTTGGAACAGTTGCATTTTATTATATAGATTCCATGCTGGCTGTTACTTAATAGTTTTGTTTTGGTTTTTGATATTAATAAAGATCTTAAATTTGGGTTTGATTGAAATACTACTCTGTACCCAGCGTTTTGGAATATTTTTTGAAGTTTTGATGAAAGGCCTGGTACACCAATGTAAAGACACATTTACTACAAATGGAGTAAGCTCTGTGAAAAAAAATATAGCTGTTAAAATATTCGGATCGTGACTTGAATGCGGTTTAGTTTGAATGTTA